TATATATATATATATACACACACACACACACACACACACACACACACATATATATCAGCTGGCCGGTCATTGCAATTAGGGCTGTAGAGTGTGACTCCTGAATGAAAGGCATTGCTATTCACCTGATGCATTTTGAAGTAGCTCATATCCCTAGAGAAAAATATTTTTCTTTGGTCTGATTTGCAATGTGCCAGAGAAAGTGAGTAAATCAAATGGGGAAAACTGGCGCTCTCTCTCTCTCCCTCTCCCTCTCCCTCTCCCTCTCCCTCTCCCTCTCCCTCTCATTTTAAAGCAGCTGTTGTCAGTGAGAACCTGAGACCTGAGATCAAAACTGTCTTTCAGGATCCAGGCTCCCATCAGAGCCTGAGTCTGTGTTTGGTTCTAAGTGAGCCGACGTATCGTGTCGGGACTTTAATTCAATTCCTTTCCTCTTTCTTCTCATCAGCTCTTTTATTGTTGCCTTTCCTGGTGAGTTATAGAAATGGCTTCATTGCAACGTCTCCTGCTGATAACTTGGCCTGGCTGTTAGGTCTTGAAAATGAAAATTTGAATTGATTCTACCACCAGCCATTTTCTATTTTGTGCTGGAACATGGAGCAGCATGTGCAAAGTTAATACTAATTAGAAGTGTGGTCTCTCCCATGAAGCAGTGATTTAATTTGACTCTTCTTTTACATTTCATTCTACCTAATCTGATAAGCATGATTTTACTGTATGTTCTCTCAAACTCTTATCTCTAATACTTGCTCTCCTGCACCTTCCTGGTCGATTTGTTATTCTGACACGCTGTTCCCCCTCTTCTTCCTCCCCCTCTCCGCCCTTCTTGTAGAGTTATTGTGTTTTCACGATCGTGTCATCCATCATGACCAGGTGTGTGTGGGTGACGGTGTGTTTCCTCTACAGTGTGATGCTCGTGTCCAGCAGGTTATTAGAACTTCCACAGGGAGTGTAGTGTGCTGGTTTGGGCCGCAGCATTATTATACAGCACACGTGGGCTCCTCCCTTAGCCTCCCTCTTAATTCCCCACCATTCACTCAGGACTCATCCACATTTTACTGAAGCATTTCTGCATCATTACATCGGAGACACACTCCAGGAATGTCAGGTCAATTAAATTCAAATTTGCAGATTCAGGATATGAGTGGTAAATGTTTCTCAAAGGCCTTGACGGCTCTCCTTCTTTCTCACTTTCAAAAGTTTCTCCAGCTCTAGTTTAATGTTTGTTTTAGTCACATGAAGCATAAGTTATTTAGGCTCTGGACCTGCATGTTCTCTGTGATCCATAAATATTACTAAGTCACTACGTTTTTGTACACATGAATCTCTGCTGTCCTGTGCTCTAGTAAAAGTCCAAATCAGTTAACATGTCCTTAAACAAGTGGTTCTCAATTATTTTCTGTCATCCTTGGGGATGACAGACCCACACCTCCACGAATTGAAATACTACTGAGAACCTGATAACATAAACAACAAACCACTGTATGAGTTGCTGCCACCTAGTGACTGGAGGCTTGTTATCACTCAAGCATTACAGCAGTGGTACACTTATGTCCAGTGTGCCATACTCCATTGGAAGCCCCACACGCACCCCCCTCACCCCCCTCGGCACCTCACCACGCCCCCCCAGAGGGACCCGCCCCACTCTTTGAGAAGTACAGCCTTAAACCAACAATTCCGAAATCAATCAATGATTTTCATTTGGTGTCCTGAGCAGATGTCAAAGGCAGGGTTCCATGTTTACCATGTGGAACTATACATAAAGATTAGCTTGAACCCAAAATATCAGGGGAACCACCAGTCCAGCCATATGCCCATGTGTCCCTGGGCAAGATATTGAGTTGTTGAAGCTGTGCATCACTTCCACTTCAATGTGTTGGTTTAAAGATCATGGACTTCTCCTGCTGGTTGTGTAATCATGTCAGTAGAACAACATGATGTCTGCTGCAGTGCACAGTGTGTGGTTGGCAATCTTCATTTAACGTCATTCTGTGACCAGATGAGAAGATCTGATCATTTTAGAGATTTGGCAGCCTGTGGTTTTCTAAATTTGGATTTGATCTCCTCTGTTATCATTTGCAGCACCATGACTCAGAATTAAAACCATAATCTCATATATTTGGGTTTGTCATCATGAGCAAACATTTAATTCCATCAACGTGATTCTTCACACCCAGGATGGTATCTGTGCCCTCCCAGAGAGTTTGTAGAATGTCTTTCATGAATTTTCCTCTAATCTTGTTGACATGTAAATGAGACTGGAGACCCATCTCTCCAGCCCTGCTAAAAATAGAAATAATCCATGAAACTAACTGGCAGCTGTTTCCCTGGTGTTTCCTGCCAACTCGGTTGTAGAGATTCTTTTTTAATCCAATTCTCCTCACAAAAAAAGTTTTCCTTTAGCAGAGAGCTTCATATTTGCCTGCAGCAATTATCACATCTGTTCTGTTAAAGGCTGATGACAATAAAAAATGCAAGTCCCAAAAAGGGAGAATGAATACTCAGGTTAATTATATCTGAATATGGAGGGGAGGTATGAGCACAACTCAGTGGTGCTTTAAATTAGGATAATCCAACTTCAGTAAATGTGCTTAAAATAAATGGTGACATTCTGAGGAGGTGTCCTTCATTATAAAACTGCCAACTGTTTGGTCAGCGGTTCACCTGCCCTGCTGCTCTGGCCTTTTCCCTTTAATTATCTCTGCAAACTATTATAATCAGCAATTAAACACTACATACAGTTATATCCAGAGCACTGACTCTTTACACTAACAAGCTGCTTCATATAGTGTCTTTGTTCCTTGTTTATTATTCTTCACGGTCACGTTTCATATCACTGTGTTTGTGTATGTTTTCACGCTAGACATTATCTTCAGGTTGTTTTTCCTTCGCCTGTGGAAAAAAAAAAACAAAAAAAACAAACAATATACACATGAGACTGGTCTACATTCAATTGTGTTTCATTATCTTGTAGTGTTTTGATCATCGACATGCTTTCATGTTTTCAGCCTTGTTAGAATTTTGCATTTGTCCAACACCGTCTGCAGCCTGAAGCAGAAAGTGCATGAAAACAAGACAAGAGAAGTAGTGGTTAGCGGTAAACACAAAGCATGCAACTACCCTACCTCCCCTGCAGGGGATGCTACAGCATAAATACAGTTTTAATGCTGCAATTCATTTAGTTAACAGGATCAAACTAAATAGTTATTTATTTAGTTTTTTTTTTACCCTAAAACATAATTTAACTTTTTATTTCTGCAAGAACAATCAACATTATAATTCATTAAACACTTTATACTAGGAAATATTTAGTGATTCAAGCAGACAACTGATTGTAATAAATAATTAATAGCAGTGGTGTTCCAGTGAGGCCATCAAGGCCTACTCTGTTGGCCTACAGTGTCTGAATCAGTGATTTATTTTTCAGTATAGTATACCATAAATATTTATAAAATCATCCAATCATCCATTCTTCTTTTTGCTTTTTTTCTTGGTTGCACAGCAACACTCGTACACTCGAGTTTTTTTTAGCCAGTCATATTTCAGCCTCTTGTGTTGCCAGGTTGAAAGAAATCTTCCCCTTAGTAGTGTGTGCACTGTGACATCGTTTCTTTAACCAATCAGATTTGAGTTGGCATGCCAGTTACATTGGTGATTTGAGTGATTTGATTGGATGGTTGAAGAACACACGTCTTGTATCTAACAAACTTGGTCTTGTGAAATTCAATCTGGAAAATAAGGTTTTCTCTGTGTCCACTGCTCCACTGTGTGGCGGACTTCTACCCCTTCATTTTCCATTTATTATATTCTTTGTTCTATTGCAGATACTTTTGCCAGCAAGGTTGCTGCAATCCAGGATCAGTATGCTGATGCTTCCATCGGTAACGTGACTGGCTCGAACGCCGTCAACGTTTTCCTGGGTATCGGAGTGGCGTGGACCATCGCAGCCGTCGCCTGGCGCACCAAGGGCAAACCCTTCCTGGTGGACCCTGGAAACCTGGCCTTCTCTGTCACCCTCTTCACCATCCTGGCCTTGGTTTCTGTCGCCACGCTGCTGTACCGACGGCGGCCAAATGTAGCCGGCGGCGAGTTAGGGGGGCCACGGACTACCAAAATGTTGACATCACTGATGTTCTTCTCTCTGTGGTTGGTTTACATCCTGCTGGCTTCACTGGAGGCCTACTGTCATATACCTCTGTTTTAAATGGAGGAAGAAGAGAGAGAAGAGACAGGGACCCACTGCCAACACAGAGAGAAAGGGGGAGAGAGGTAGAGGAGGGCAGGGACAGGATTCCAAACACTGACACAAAGGAGACGCCTCAACTTCAAATTTACTGTTTACAGCCCCCAAACTTCAGATTATTATACAAAATCACCAGATTTTGTCTCTTCTAGACAGGAAAAAATCAAATCTTTATAGTGATGAAAAAAAAACATCAGAACATATCAGTTTCTTAAATTTAAAATGGTCTAATTACTGGCAGAAATGTGCAGGTATTGAAGACCAATCAGTAGGACAATAACAAACTGACATGTTACCAAGAGCAGCAGCTGAGAAGGAAATAGAGATAAGAAGCTGGAGGACACAAAACTAAAGGGAAAATAAATCTCAAGATTAACGGACAGATGATTTCAACAAAGAACAGATGGATCAGATGATCTAACATTTCCTCTTGGATCGCCCTCTCGTTACTGTAACATCTCCTGATGAGAAGACTGGATTCCTTCAACCTTAACCAGTCCTATTTGTTACAGTACAGTAATAATCTTAACCCAGCTCTCTGGACTGTGTACACACACATACACATACGGAGAGTCCAGAGGAACAATTCAGAAATATATTGGTGCGGTGAAAACTGAATTCTTCCCTCCAAGGCCACCTCGTTTTGAAAAACACTGTGCTAAAAATCTTTTTACCCCAGAAAAGACACACTTATACTACACACAAATATACTAAACCCACTTCTCCTTTGTGAAATTTTGTCTGATACCTGTGAAAAGCCGAAGTCACCAAACACCTTGGTTTTTTTATGTTTTTTTTTTTTTTTTTTCTTGAACCAAACCCAAGTTTCTCTCTTCGGTGAACCTAGATTATTTTATTCTGAAGTTTCTATTGATGTCATGTGACATGTTAGTGTTGTTACTGTGCAATTTGTACAAAAGAGAAGACATATTAATATAGTGTGACGCGTGAAAAATGAAGAAATCAGTGGCAAGATGTTTTGGACGGGATGAGAAGCTGAGAACCAGATGTTGGTTGAACATCTGGATGAAGTGAAAAGTCATTGTTTACACACTCAAAATCAGTGACATGGACCAGACCGGAGGATCTCACTGGCTGTGACCAAGGTGTTGCCATTGACAGTGTTGACAAATCAAGCTACGACCATAACCGGTGTTTCTTACTCTATATTTCAATGTAAAAAAAAAAACTTTTGAAGATGTATGTGCGTGGAAATCACGTCATATTTTATTTATGTTAAGTGCTTATCTTTGTATGGAAAACCTTGGAGGATGTGGAAAAAAGATCTGCACGGCATTCACTGAAAGACGGTGCATGGAGCCATTCTGATGGAAATCCAGATGAGAATTGCAAACATGATGACTCGCAGACTAAAAATAGAGGATATGATGCTGTGAGGTAACCGTTTGGCAGCTCTGAAAGTATTACGACTGCTAGGCAGCAGTTTTTACAATGGTACAAAATGAAGGAAACGGACTCTGTAATCCAAAGAAGACCTTCTCCATAGATCAGAGTACACAGTCAGCCTGCACCTGGGGACACATGAGCTTTTATTCTTCCCCCGTGTGGACCATGTTGGTTTAGGTTTGACCTGGCAGTGTTGCATTAACCCCACTTTTTAGCCTTTCCTTGTCCTAATAAGTGGTGTCCTACTTAGAGTGAATAGGTCCCTCAAACTGCCATCTGTACTGTAACGCAAAAATGTGTTGACACAACAGCTGGAAACGCTTGACCCCATGTGTTTTCTACAAAGAAGAGCAGTGGTATTTATAATTAGTAATGATTTATTGATTAGAGCATGGTGAAGAAAGAAAGGATGTGGAAAATCAGTGAAATCTCTATTGTAATGACATCATATGACATCAAAGGTTTGGTCACTGTGTCTGAGAAGGGGACAGGATGCTTGTGTTACATGTTTGTGTGTGTGTGTGTTCTCCTGGTGTAGACTGCAGCTACAAAGGTTCAGCATGTCTTGTTGTACTCACTATTCCTTAATGGCAGTTTGCTGCAGTCAACAGATCATTCCTACAGCTGGAGGGTGACTAAGATAGAAATGTAAAACACAGTCCACAGATTGATTGGAAAGGCTTTATATCATGTGGAATCACAAGTTAAGAAGTTTCACCCTTAATCCAAGACGTATGAGTTGTGGATAAGGCAGGATTTGAACCTTTGTGAACTTTGGTCAATATAATGATGCCTATGACTCATAACCACTGGGATGTCACTCAGAGCTTTAGAGCAGCTGCATGGCCATGGAGTCCCTACTGTACAGCGACGTTCACCTTGATTAAGACATGACCCAAGGACTTACCAGAACAACTCAACACTCACAGTCTGACTCAGAGCCAAGATGAAGTATAAGTTAGTCATACAAGAATGTACAGCAACTAGTACTGTGACCCTTAAGGTTGAATGAATTTGCCTTTTTGTTTTACAAACCATTTACAAAAAGATGAATTGAAATGATAATATCACTTTACCTGCCCCACAACCTGACACGTTACAAATGCTCAAATTACCCGCTGCTTTCAGTTCGGACCAAGTTGCATCTTTACAGAAGCAGCTCAGGCGTAAACAGGCTGAACAGAGCCCGGCTTAGAGCTTGTGCAAATATGAGTAGAGTAGGTATTTGGAGAGTGGGGTCAGTGATCTGTGAGGGTGAAACGGTCTGTGTGAATCAGTCACCTTGGTCAAGGATACATCAGCATAATATTTACATACACAAATGTGACCAGGATTTTTAAAGTCATGATGCCAAGCCCTCAGGTGCCCTCAGTGTCACTTCATCGTATTTGTGTAGTGTTGTCAGGTGGGGACAAATCCACCTGACAAATTTCCCCCGAAACAGTTGACTTTTCATGACAAAAATGTAGAATGCCTTGATGCAAAGTCCAACTTCAGACCAACTAGTGAGTCCCGAATCACTTTGTACCAATCCATATCATCCACCCTAGGACTGTGGTGCAGTCAGGAGAGCCAACAACATCTGACGGCTTTATTGCACTGATGTGTTCCAAATCTAATGCCTCTGTTCAAAAATATGTCGCGGCTAAAAGGTCCTGAAAACAGCATTAAGGACTAAGGACCAAGTCAGTAATTATGACTGTTGTAGTCAGAGATCATAGCAGGGTTTCAGTCCTATTCACAAGTGTGGTGTTGGTCAGATGAAGTCACAGGAAGGTTCTAAATAATAAAGGTAGGATTTTAGAGCAGGATAAATCTGGAGTACAGCTGATGTGCGTGCGTGTGTATGTGTAAAAAACGCAACCATATTTTTAGTCTCATGCCTGTTGCTAAGTGACCATCTTTCAGCGAGCTGTTGTCTGCTTGATTGTTGCTGGTGTGTGTGAGTGTATGGGTCTGTGTGTGCCCTAATGTTTCTCCATTATTTTAACCAACATGGCTTCACAGTTTCCACTTCTTCTTTTCTGACGTTTTCAGAATACGTTTTCCTTTTTAAGCATGTCATTTTTGCCTTCCCCTGTTGCGCATGCTTGTCCTTTCTGTGTGTGTGTGTGTGTGTGTGTGAATGTGTGAATGCATGCTGTTCTCTATACTTATGGGACTAACTACAGTACGTCTCTGCCTCAGTCACATTCCATGACATGGTCAAGTGCCAAAATGTCTAGAAATCAAATTCCTTTACGTTGTGTGTGTGAAACTCAGCAGGATTATATTATGTCTACAGTACATATAATTGATCTGACTGTTAATTTAGACTAAGGGTAGATATTGACAGTGTTTACCAGTGTGCTTGTGTACACATAAATATATTGTGTATTCCACTACATTACCGCCACTCATTTAAACTCATAAACAAAGAGCAAAAGACAATAGAAGAGCTGAATTGGACATGTACCTTGGCTCTGAACCAGGTAAACCTGTGTGGGCCACATGTTATTGCTTGATGCTCAAGTATATGGAGCCCACATTAACTCCAGTTCTAGTTCTACTTTTGCATCAATTTGATATTCACGTGCGGCCCACACACAAGTGCTGTTTCTGCGTCTCCATGTGGATGGGTTGACCACATTTGGTTCCACAATTTTCATTCAAACACAACTTATTTTAATAATTTAATGACAAATTGTTTTGCAATGATCATTTAGTATAACCGCTCATTACCCACGAATATACTCAGTCCATATGTTCATCAGAAGCTGATGTGAGTACGTCAAACCACATTTCCATTTTTTTCTTTTACTTGTCATGTTTTCATTCCCCCCTTTTTTCACTAATGAAGAACCGTTTTATCAAAAACTCCTGTCGAAATTGTCCATATTCAGTGATAATTCAGTGTTTGCAATATGCTGCTTTACCCCTAGATGCCACTAAAATTTACACACTGTTCCTCCATTCCATACATATACGTTTGTCTTTTTATTTAAATATTGTAGCATACTTTTTTAAAATATCGATGTGATTATTTATTTGGTAATATTATATGATATTTGTATTTAACTTTAGGATTTGTTTGAGCCATTGAGTAGAACAAGAACACATGAGGCAAAAATGGAAAGAATGCAAACTTTTGCCACAAAGTTTGTTTTAAATACAATCTTGGTTCCCTCTCTATTATATTTATCTTTTTTTTTCCTTGGGGTACTTTTTTGATGTTAACCTATTTTTGTTCATCATTTTGGATTCACAAGATCACAAAGTGCTTTTGGTATGGTCATTTTCCCATTTATTGTGATATTGGAATATCATATTTAATCCATTGTTTTGTGTTTTTCCTATATTTTAATCTACCTACAAAAGCATTAAGAAAGATGAACAGTAATGTAGTTGTAAAGCTACGAGCTCCTTTCTCCTGACTGTGTGTGTGATTGAATGTGAATGTGTTTGAAAATGCGCTTCTGTTCATATCACTCCATCCAGAAGGTTGTCAGTGCATGACTTTAACTCATTCTAAAAACATGTTGATAATGGAAATGTTGTAGTAAAGAGTAAAATTATTTCTAAATGCTGAAAAATAAAGAAAAAAATATATGTAAATGATAACAAAGACCAATTTTCTTTTCTTTTTTTCTCATGGTAACTGATTAAAACAATCCTTACTGGTAAATGCTCAGCAGTGAATGTGTCCTTTTCTTGACTTTACTTAATTTAAAATCTAAAAGTCTATGGGCACTACTATCCAACGATAGGCCACTTCCTGGATCAGGCGGAAGTTGACAGCCTGGGTGGTGTGTCAATCAAACTGCTGACTAGCAATAGCACACACACACTTTAGCATCTGGAATCGTGGAGCACGCAGTTGTTTTGATACTTTCGGCTGAGACAAGTGGATGGAGATTCTGAAGGGGAAACGACACGATATACGTGAGTCTTACACACGAAGTACACAACAACAAACATCCAAAAGTGCGCAGTATTGTTTGGAGTTGGATAAAATTACTGCGGTAGAAGTTAGCAGTGTTTAGCATGCCGTGCATCGTCAACCGAAAATCTAAAGAGAGATTCAGGTCCAGGGTCACTTTGTACTTAGCTGTATAGAGTTCTACAACGATGCAGAAAATATATTAATGGTCACTGAATCTTGGTATAGTCTAGGTTTGAACTTTTTCTGCTACCAATGTGTTTTAGAAACGTGGTATTCATAGTGCTGAGAAAGGCTGTTGGCCTGCCACCTGCTGGACTGTGAGTCAGTTTGGTGGCTGTGGAGTATTTTTTCTTTTCATGTTTTTGGCCATATAACCCGCAGCAGTTGTTAGTTTTACAGAGACCTATTCACATTTTAATTGTTTAATATTACATCAATCACATTTTGTTGGGCCTTTTCTGCTTATTTTATGCTAAATGTGGAAAAATATGAATTAATGAGTGTGTTTTTTAGGTCTAGGTTATGTCTTGGGTGATATAGAGTTTTTGTTTGTTTTGTGGAAGTAAAAGGCCAGATATGTTCATGTTACTTGGTAAAAAAAAAGAAGACGTTTAACTGACCTTTAAATGATTGTGGCTGTCCCTCATTGTCCCATACAAACCTGATGCTTGACCCACATTTTGTCAGTTTGGAGGTGATCACCCCTTTGTACGTGAGTCACCTGAACATGTAGAATCAAGTTCTGCTTGATTTACCAGTGGAACCAGAGGTAACAAATGGGTTCCAAGAAAAGTAATTGTTTGCTGCAGAACTTTCAAATCTGCTTTGTATGGATATTGATATTTGTTTTGCACTTTTAAGAAGTTTTCTTTGTTACAGATGTGATATCAGTTTAGATAGATGGGTGGATGGATTTTTAATGTTTGCCATTGGAGTGGTGCTTGGTGGAGCTAAAGTAAAACAGTCTGTGTAGATCGCAAAGGGAGTACTGGTAGATCATGAGGAATACAAATAAATAAATACATATATTTATTTTATTTTAATCTCTAGGACTAGATCATCAACAATACAAGTATTGAATCATATTGTGCCTTACAGCTACAGCTATTTAATCAAAATATAATGTGTTATATAAAGTATATTAAACTCATATGGCTAAATATATACTGTATTAAATATTATTAATGTAGGCAGATCACTTTGGTCTGGTCATTTGAAAAGTAGCTCCCAAGCCAACAAAGTGTGGACACCCCTTGCTCCAGAATTCTAAGGTTGGGATTTTAGTATTTCAAAAAAATCTATATCATCGTTAAAAAGATAAATCTTTAGTAAATCTAAAGTAGTCAAAAGTTTTCTTTTCTGAGCCAAGCAGACTGTAAGAAAATACAACCCTCGAGGCAGTGACGCTCCTGTCGTGTCATGTGCCTCCAGTGACCTATTAGGAATGACAATGCAATCAGTCTTATATAACATTATGAGATTTTTTTTTTGCTTTAAATTACCACATACTGTCCCTTTATTTATTTATTTACAAACACTGTGCAGGGTGAAGCAGACTGAACGTACTAGTGATAATGATATTCTGTCTGAAACTAGGCATGAGAGATTTGTCATTCTCTGACTTGGTGACAACCCGTCACCATCGGAGCAGTACAGCAGCTCACGCCGCCAACACTGAGAGCTAAGCACTCACCACTCAATAATGGGCTTAATTTGATCTGCAGTTATTGCTCTGTGTTATTTGTGCGTCTGTTTGTAATTGTGTTCATATTCTTGCCGCCGTTTGGTAATTAGAAATTATACGTCCACTTCAGAAGTGGCTGCAGTAAATCTCCCGGGAGTGAGCAAACAGATGAGTGTCGTCAGCACCACAGCAGCAGGTTGCTAGTCCTGAATGTGAAGAGGACACTCATTAAACTCCTAATGAGGAACACAGTGGTGGTGGTAACAACGTAAATGTCTAAATAAACCAGATAAAGACTGTGCTGTATTATCTTACAGTGTATTTACATAGTTGTTGTGTTGGATTTGATTTTGATTTTACTTGACAATAGTATTTGTTTGCTGCAGGACTTGCATATCTGCTTTGTATAAATATTGGTATTTGTGTTACACGAACACAAGTTTTCTTTGTAACAGATGTGATATCAGGCTCATCAGTTTAGATAGATTGATGGATGGATAGCACTTTATTAGTCCCTCGGGTGTTCCCTTTGGGAAATACAATAAGATACAAACATGGGTAGCAGTACACTGGGTAAATACAATGAGATACAAACATGGGTAGCAGTACACTGTCAATGAATATGGAAAATCTGAACAGTAGACATTAGTAGATTATTAGGTTGTTATTAGAAGTAGACATATATATATATATATATATATATATATATGTATGTGTATGTATATATGTATATATATTTCAGTATATTATATTACAGTAGAGTAATTAAATAATTAAATTAGATCAACAGTTAGCTGTATAGGCAGTTCTGACCCTCGATTAGAACTGGTCAGAGTTTTTGTTTGGATTTCCCAAAATCTTTGACCAGCTCCTTGGTCTTGGAGGTGTTGAGCTGCAGGTGATTAAATTTGCTCCGTTGCTTCATTTTTCTTTTAATTTTTTACTTCTTACTTTTAAAAAAAAATCTTTATTACATTAGCTTAAAAAACATCTCAAGGAATTCTGTAGAATATGTTTTTTAACCTGGCTACATCCTATTTATAGTGCTGCCCAGGGGCAAAGGTTTTCAGATTATTTATTGAAGCCCAAACATACACCTGAGACGTGAGCTGAACTATTACAAGTGAAACTTTGAATCTGTTTTTGTTTTGTTCCCTTTAATTCTTCTCAGTCTTCTTCCTCTGGTTGTTGTTTTCTTTTAGTCCTGAACTACAAAGTGGCAGCTGTTTTTCCGTGGGCAAGCCCTCAGTACGCACATCGGCAAGAGCTGGCCCTGTCCCCCACTGGAGAAGAACAGGCAAAAAGACGAGTAAACACAAATGTACTGAGGGAGATGGAGAAACAGAGGGGGATGACAAGTGAGGAAGAGGAGGAGGAAGCAGACAGAAGAAGATAATGAGACAAATATGATGGGGACAGCCGACAGTGTGACAGAGGTACGGAAGCATATTGCTGCCACACTGAAAAAAACAAAATGGCTCAGTATCATGTAATTACGTGATAAGTTTCACGTCACAGTGGTCCCTCTCTATATCGCGTTGTACTTTTGCTTTTTTTAATCCAATCCCGCAACATTACAAATGTTTTAATTTCCAATGTTTTTATTATTTTCATGAAAAATAACAATTTTCTAGCCTAAAAGGGAAAACAGTATTTAAATAAACGAAAATACATTTTTCAACACATACATATAAAGTAATACATAAAATAACAGTACAGTACGTACGGTTGTGAAATCTAGTATACCCGCAGGTCATGCATGACATACAGTATGTACTGTATATGGTGAGCATTTAATAAATGTAGGGTACCTCAGTTGGACACAGGAGGGCACTGTTGTGGTTGTTGTTCGACTGTTGATAACAGTGTGGGGAGGTTTGTGGAGGGTAAATAAATCAGTAAATTATATAATAATCTCTACTATCTCTACTTTGTTAATTTTCTCATTTTGCGGTGGGTCTTGAAACGCAACTACCGCGATAGGAGAGGGACCAATGTATTTCGTGATAACTTTTATGTAATTACGCGATGACTGTAAAGCACATTGAGTTTGCTTTGTGCATGAGTGTGCATTTATAATTTATTTACCAAAAATGACATGCTATAATACAAATTTTCCAAATAATTCTGGGAAACAAAATGATAATTTCCTAATTTGTTGCAAAAAAGCATTAAAAAAAAACAATTTTGCGAATTTGTTTTTCTTTTTTATCTGACCAAAAATGACAAGCTACATTAAGATTACACCACAAAATTCTGGAAAAAAAAATCTTTAACTTAGCAAAAAAAATCATTATAATTTTTTACCATCTGACAAAAAAAAATTGGGAAAAACATTTTTTCATAAAAAAGCCATCAAAAAACCCAATAACAAATCAACCAATCAGAATCTTGGTTGACCCAGAATGTATCGACCAATAAGTCTGTGTAGGTTCTAAGTCATCCAGGTCATTTAATCCAGTAGTTTCATCGAGTGCAACTGGACAAAGTCGTTTTTTTTTTTTTTTTTTTTTTATTTATAAAGAACTGAAGCCTCTTGAATGAGAGGTAAAAAAAAACCTACTTCATCCAGTTGCCCTCAATGTAACTATTTTTGGATCAACCAATAAGTTGACCGGATGAAGTGTCACCACGATCAATGCTAGTGGTGACTTTGTCCCATCATTAGGAAGAAAAAAGACATGACAATCTGTTTCAAGAAGGAGTCATTATATTGTGTGGTAATGATTACAGGTAGATTCTCCTCCTGTATGCTCAAAATACTATTACATTACAAAGCAACATAAACCAGTTTTGATTTTTTTTTTTTTTTTTAGAAACATCATTACCTTACATTTGTGTTACATTAAGACTAATTCTAATGGTTTATCTCCACAGGGTCAAGCTAGGTGACAGGTGTTGCACCAGATGCCCTTTATCTTGGTGAGTAATAAGTCATGATCATGATGGTTGTTTATTTCTTTAAAAAGTGCACTAAGACTGGGGCCTGAGACTTACTATTTCAGTATTTGCTCTGCAGTGTGGTATATATATTTTTATGTAGATAATTTAATTTTATGTCACACCTTTACCAGACCAAAACATTGTTTAAGAGAGTCTAATCCAGGCATGTGCAAATTTTTTGACTCTTGTGCCACAATGGGTCCTAAAATTTCACAGTTGGGGCAGCATCAGGAGAGATAGATGGAGTGTTTGTGTGAACTAAGATAAATGACATGTAAAAGTCATGCATAAAGGCTAAAATTCTAAAATGCTTATATCATTTTCTCTGCCATCTATTGGGGAAATGTGGGTGTTGCAGGAAAAAGGCAGAAGTATAATGATAATATAAATAAATTATATAATTTGGAAAGGTTTGACAGGCCGGATTAAAAAGCTGAACAGGCCACACCTGGCCCCCGGGCCTTAGTTTGCCTATGCCTGGTCTAATCTATTTTAGCAGTTTCAAATCAACAAACAGATGTTTAACACACACACACCCCTCCCCCCTCATGATTAAACCTTGATTAAACTGAGCACTGACAATCTGCTCTTTCTATCATGTCTGTACATTTCTGAATCTAAAGGTTATTCAGGACCAATTACATGTGACGTTGAGGCTGGAGCTGTGGCTTTATTCCAAAGGTAGGTACATTTACACTTTTTTCTCTTTTTGTGATTATTGATATGTTTATCTACTGTATAAGTAATTTGGGATCAGTGTGTTCAATTCGTGGTTGTCGTTTTTTATATTTACAGCCACTCAACAGCATTAAAATAAATAAATAACTACGCAATAATACTTTTCAGCATTATAAAATTAGCAAAGTGAAACTATACCAGTTAAAACACCATCCTTGAAAAGTGTATTTAGTTTTCTCCACTATTTCAACTACTTTTATTCTAGTCTCAGCAACAGCACATGTTACAAGGTAAAATGGCACTATGTGCACTCAGTGGCTCAGTGCAACACTGCACGTCTAATGCTTCTAATTGGCCAGTTTTCCCCGCCACCCATATAAATATGTAAATAACCACAAAAGAAAAACGTTGGTAAAATTTCACTTTAAATAGACAATAGTTTACAAGGGTTCTGTTTCCAGGGGAGACAATCAGACAGACAGGCAGCCAGTGCACATCCAAGGAGGGAAGAGACAGAGAGTGAAGACTGGACAGGACCCTCCTGGACATCCGTCTCTCCCCAGCACTCATAGTCAGTAGTCAAAATACACGTACAGCTACACAAATACAGAGTGCACATACACAGGATGCCAAGGTTTTTACCCCCAGAGTGGACAGTACAGTAGAAAAACAAACACATATTTTAAAAAAAAACAGAGCAAAGAAGCTTAGATGGAGACAAAGCCACCGATGTTGACGTTTAAAGTACCTTTAGATTTGAAGTATTTTGACACTTTCTGCTGACATATTTGTTAAAACTTTAAAACTGTTAAAAAAAATCAAATCATATTTCCCTTTCATATGTTCTTTTAAAGGCTCAACTGAAATCTGTGGGTATGGAAAAAACATCTTAAAGAAACTTGGTAATTGGTTAAAAAAACAAATGGATTTCTTAAAACATCAATTAGAACTAAATGATAAAATCTGAAATTTTTGAGACGAAAGGAGATGTACCGTATAGTTTTTGCTTAGACCCTGTCAACACGTTAACTGAATTTAGTGTTCAAACCACTTATGTATTTTTGTTGATTGGATAAATATTGGTGCTGAAGGTTTTAAAAAAAAAAAACGTTTCCAAATGTTATTGAGGCGTTGGTTTGCTTTGTTAAAAGTTAAATTTGTTTTTGAAAAATCTTAAAACTATTTCTCAAACAATCTTAACTAGTGATAAACTAGTGTCAACGGAACAGATTTCTATATTATACAGAAACCAAAAGTAAGGTGTATACTAAAATTATCGAGACTCTAGCACCACTCTCTGGTGAGCCGCTGTAGTTACATTAACATTTTCATAGCGTGACCACCTCTTGTTTGTGTCAACCATTTAAGAATGCGGTCCAGTCTTAGCTTTATACTCTCACCTCATACGTCCACATGTCTGGATAACATACATAAAACTTCTAAAGGGTTTATTTTAAATAATTTTAAATCCCTGGGAAATTGCACCATTACTCTTAAGGAATCATTTCAAGAAAATTGTAATAACGATGTCTAAGAAACAATGTTTTAAACAAAAACTCAACTCTGCTTTTTAAAATATAAATTAAATGTCTTCATTAAGTGTCAAGTCAGATAAAAAATATTGGAATTCTGTGGTTTGGCAAAAAAAGCAAAGCTTTTGTTGACACCAACAAAATAGAAATGGTGTAAAATGGAATAAAAGTACAAAAACACAAATGTTGGCTGGAAAACTACAAAACATAGACACAAACAAAGGCGGAGAAAAAAACAAATGTAAAAACAAAAGTCAGGTTACGATGCTGGAATTTTCCAACCATGTGTCATGTGACAGGAAAATGGCAACATAAAAAATAATAAAGCTCTGTAGACACAAATAAACCAGTCTGTAGTAAAAGGAATAAAATTAGTAAATAATCTCTATCATTACTATCCCACGTATTAATCATTATAGACCCCAGTTAAATGTTTGCATTTCCTTTTTACACTGAACAAATCTAGTCAATTTAACTGAACGACACCTCTGCCTCTGATAGGATGGGAGTAGACGAGGAATTGGAATCGTCCAACGAGATCGAGCTAATGTCCTTGCTCCTATTCCAGAGCGCCCGATTTGGCGTCGAAGGGTAGGAGGGCGTGGAGCAGTTGGAGGGCGGGCCTGAACCCGAACTGGGGCTGGAGCTGCTGTGGTTGGAAAAGGGTGAGAAGAGGGCGTCCTTCTGCAGACCCTTGTTCTGGAGCTCCAGCTGCAGGTGCTGACAGATCTCTTCCGGCAGATGCTGGTACTCCTCCTCCAGTTCCTTCTGCAACTGGGCCTTCATCTGAAGAGGGAGAGAGGATCATCATGAGTTCACTGGCAGAAGAGAACCACAAGGGGGCATCTCCATGGGGCCCAATAAGGAGTACAGTAAGAAAGAAAGCATACTAATGTTGTAGGACTTTTTAAAAACATTACAAAAAAAAAATTAAACCAGATCCTGAATTTTTGTTTATATTTAATTTATAATTGTTACTATTTTATTTATTTTTCTATTTATTTTAATACCTGTATGGTGTTTTTTGGTAACTGTGTAGTTAAGTGTTTCCTATTTTTACTATACTTAAATAACATTGACCTATATTATAGAAACATCAAAAAATATTTTAATGTCATATATAATTTCATAGCCTGCTGGAGAGGAAATGCTGTGATACTGGAGCTAAATTCTATCATTTCTGACTGTCATCCCAGATTAATCCAGTATGCTACAGTACATAGCTGACAACTGCTTAGTATTTAGTAGCATCTGGTGACAGAGCAGCATGAATCAATCAGCATGTTAAACAGGCTACAATAGCGATTAAGAAGGTAAAAAAAAAAATAGGCTGGATTAAGATGTTTGTCATCATGTCAATGAAAGCATACTAACTCAATGTATTTCTGTTTTTAATACTGTCAATCATTGATCACCACAGCTGGTACGTGATGCTCACCTGTGGTAGATCTTCATCTATGTGCTGCAGCACGTCCCGCTGCCTCAGCATCAGTTTCTCCTGTCTCCTCTTCTGGGCCTCCTCCAGCTGCAGTGTGAGAACGAAGAAGAACAAAATCAGACAAGAGATAAAGAGAGTACAGTAGGAGGTATGAAAACCCTCAATATAATCATTTAAAGAAAGCGCACAATCTTATATATCAGTGAACGGTAAAGAAAGTTAACTGAACACAGCTGATCAAGTTTGTGTGTGTGGATACTTGCCCTGCGGATTAAGTCAACAGAATCCTGAATGTGTTTCTTGTTAATCTCATTCACTTCCCTGTAGAGAAAACAAAGACGCTGAACTAAATATCAAGTATCTAATGATTATGTCATCGTCTGCACAGGAGGAGGAGCCTTACCATGTCTCAGCCTTCTCCTTGTCACGACTCTTGGCTTCGATAATGCTGTTCTGACGCTTCCTGTCCATGATCTTCTGGAGCTCCTTCTTCTCCCTGCAAACACAGGTACACAGCATTAAAACATGTATTAATGTTTATATATATATATATACACACACTGTATATATGAACATATATATGTTTATATATATATTAATGTAAACATAAACATATATATAAGCATATATAATATATATTTATGTAAACATATATAACATTTATATATATATGTTTATATATATAAACATATGTGTTTGTGTATATAAACATATATACACTGTATATATAAACATACAGTATATATGTATGTTTATATATATATATATATAAACATATGTTTATGTTTATATATATGTTTATGTATATATATAAACATATACATAAACATACAATCATTACATCTGGTATATAAATGTATCAGCACCGAATCTCTATAGTACACTTATGTTTATATATATAAACATGTATATATATTTATATATGTTTATGTTTATATATGTTTATACATAAACATATAAGTTTACATATCTATGTTTATATATATATGTTTATATATGTTTGTTCATATATATATGTTTATACATATAAACATATATGTTTACATATATGTTTATATATGTAAACATATATATAACATATATATTTATATATTTAAACATATATATGTTTATATACATACACTTATGTTTATATATATCTTTATATATATAAACATATGTATATATATAAACATATATAAACATACATATATATGTTTATATATATAAAAAAGTTGGTATAACTGCGTCCCTTACTTTTCACACAGCTCTTTGAGTTTCTTCAGCTGAGCTGCCTGGCATTCGTTTGCCGTCTCCTTCAACTTTTGGACCGCCTTAAGAAGAAGAAAGAAAAAGAAGAAAGTGAACTCCTTGTCTGCTTTTAACCCATCACCAAAGTGAACAGTGGGCAGCTTTAAGGGCCCCATTAAATAACCAGGAGCAAAAACAAGTTGAAATGGACAAAGGTAATTTTATACAGTGGGATACAACGATGGATTTTCACAGTCATGCATCTCACACAGACGTGTACATGTGACCTTACCTGTTTCAGGTGTGCGTATTGCTTCTCTCTCTCCAGTGCGTGAAGTTCCTGTCGCAGCTTGAGCAGCTCCTGCATCTGCCACTCCCTCAGCTGGACCGTCTGCTTCTCCAGCTCCTTATCCAGTGCCGTCAGCTCACTCTGCACCGGCTCATGTGGTTCACTGACAATAGAAGTGAATGTTTTAATCACTCTTTTCATTGTCCCACCTCTCAGCTGTTGTGTTTTTATATTTTTATTTCACCTATGCTTTCAACCTGAAATCGAGCTGTAAGAACAACAATGTGACTTTAGGGATGCTTTGATTTTTCTAATAAATATGTTTTAGAATTCTCTAAAAATAAATCAAGGATGCTCACAAGTAGTTTTGTGTGTATTATGGGTTTTTTTTTCACATCCCACAATCCCTCACATTCTTACTTTTTCTTAATGCTGCGTTTCAGATGTTTCTCCATCTGATTGCGTCTCTTCTGGCTGTCCGACTGGAGCTGACTGCTGCGGTTTTGTTGCTCCTTGCTCAGATTCCACACCTGCACACAAGAAAAACAAATTGTGTTTGTGAATTTCCTGCCCAAGACCATAATTTCAAACATTTTCCAAAGAATCTCAACAGATAGATTGGGTGTCCCCTACTTTTGTACGTGTGTACCTTCTTGAGATGTTTCTTCTGCAGCTCTTTCAACTCTTTGTTCTGCTTCTTAAGCAGCTTCATGTAATTTTTCTGCTGCTTCAGCTCATCGATAGAGTAAACCTGGACATCTGCCAGGAACAGGAAGGGAATTACACTGACAGAACTTTCAGGTGCACGTCTTAAAAATTTACACATACATTACAGAAATAACAAGTATGACACAGAAATTATTCATTTCTGTGTGGAGTGGGATATGCTGTGATGACCTTACCTGTCAGAACGGTAGCTATAAGATCCTCCTTTTGACTTTGTGCTACACACACACGCAAACAAACAAAATACTCAGATGGTGAAACAGATGGTGAAAAAGCAGTTTGTAGAAAATGAAAATCCTCCTTCAGATTTTCATCTCTCAGCAGGTTTTAAATCATGACTCAGTCATGGTTTAATTTAATTTAACCTACATTAAAATGTCAACATTAGACAGAGAAAAATCACACACTATGCCTAGAAATGACAGGGAAATACTGATGTGAAACACAAAGATGAAGATTCACAGGATGGTTTTATACATAATCTTTTTTCTACAGGTACAGCATCCTTTTAGAATAAAAAACAGAAATATTGACATCCTGATGAATAAATCTACTGCTATTGCCATTTGTTTATTTATTCACAGATATTATTTAAGTAATCAAACTGGGATTATTGGATGTTTCTGTACCTGGGGGAGGTAATTTGATGTCAGGAGACTCGTACATGGGGCAGGGAGGGTAGCTGAAGGGAGATGGAGGTCGGACTGGAATGACGCAGGCGTTCTTGTTCTCTCCATCTTTAGGTTGGTTGGGTACATGCTGAGGTAGGAAAGAAAAGCATGTTACTTTGGAATCATTGAGTTTACAGTGTAAATATAAATTTGTCAAAAGTGTCACTCACCTCACTGATGTCCTCCAAGAGAACAGCCAGCTGTGTTTCTCTCTTGTGCAGCTCACTGATGTGTTTAATGGGGTTGGTCAGAGCCTCTGCGTACTCTGAGAAAAAGAAACGAAACAAAAATTTGACTAAAAATGGCCTGTCTGGGCAGTGCTGACAGCTGCTGTAGGTACTTTTAATTTTATAAATGTTAAGGCAGCATGTGGACTAACACAAACAGTTTGACATAAAGTAGTGAGCCGTGACGAACTGTAACCTTGGTCGCTTGCTTTCTTTATACCCAAACTTGTTGACTAATAATTTGCCCACTGCTTTACTTGAATGGATTTTCCAGCCTTAATCCTTTGACTGTGTTTTATTTCTTATTTCTTGCTTTCTTCTTAAGAAAATAACTCCAGATATGTCTGGTTTACTTACAAGTGATGTGGTGTGAATCCAGCATTTCAGTTCTGTTGTTAATAATGTTGTTAATAATTATCTTTTACCTTGGTGCTCATTTGGGATGTAGTCCTGAGCCTCGGTGTAAACCAGCAGCGAGGGCAGGAGAAGGGGCTGGTTCAGCTCATTCTTTAGGTTAATGTAGTGGTAACCTGACAGAAAGACAAGACAATAAAGTGGAGAATGAAGGAACAAGTGTCAACAAGTATACATGTTCAAGTGTATATGTTGACAGTTAAGGTAAACTTTTCCACAAAATTCTACTTTCACACTTTTCACACATATTGGTCAGAAGGTGAACATTTCTTTAAATTTTTTTTAACATTTAATGTTTTCTGCATGTTTCTCATCAATTAAGAGCATTTTGTGACATTTTTTTGAATTTCTTTGTTTAGGAATTTTTCAACAAAATACTAGAATTGCACAATACCATTACTATCACGAAAAAATGCAAAAAATGAATGAATGATTTGTGCTTAAAGCTGCAAAAAATATTTAATCTGAATATTTGAAAACATCACCACAAACAAGCAAGACTAGAGCTTTACTAACATGAAAAAATCCCAGAAATGCCTTAAAATG